ATTTAAAAAAAATAGAAAAATAAAAAATAAATGCCATCCAATATAGAAACACATTTTAAAAGCTTAAAATACAGTAAAAGCACTGGCCACGGTGGCTCTGCCTATAATTCCAGCACTTTGGGAGGCCGAGGCAGGCAGATCCCAAGGTCAGGAGTTTGAGACCAGCATGACCAACATGGTGAAATCCATCTCTACTAAAAATAGAAAAATGAGTCAGGCGTGGTGGTGGGTGCCTGTAATTCCAGCTATTTGGGGGGCTGAGGCAGGAGAATCGCTTGAACCTGGGAGGCGGAGGTTGCAGTGAGCCAAGATCATGCCACTGCACTCCAGCCTGGGCAACAGAACAAGACTCCATCTCAAATTAAAAAAAAAAAAGCCAGGCTGGTGGCTCACACCTGTAATCCCAACACTTGGGAGGGTGAGGCAAGCGGATCACCTGAGGTCAGGAGATGGAGATCATCCTGGCTAACATGGTAAAACCCAGTCTCTACTAAAAATACAAAAAATTAGACGGGCGTGGTGGCATGCACCTGTAGTCCCAGCTACTGAGGAGGCTGAGGCAGGAGAATCACTTGAACCAGGGATTCGGAGGTTGCAGTCAGCCAAGATCATGCCACTGCACTCCAGCCTGGGTGACAGAGAAGACTCCATCTCAAAAAAAAAAAAAATACAGTAAAAGTAAATGTCAAGGTACAGGACACAACAGCACACAATGAACTAATTCTGTGAACTATAACCCAGATTTTATTAATGAGATTACATGAAATAGAAAAGATCAGAAAAGTATTAAAATATTGTTTCGTATTTTGAGACAGAGTCTTGCTCTGCTTCCCGGGCTGGAGTGCAGTGGTGCGATCTGGGCTCACTGCAACCTCCGCCTCCCAGGTTCAAGCGATTCTCCTGCACCAGCCTCCCAAGTAGCTGGGATTACAGGCATCCACCAGTATTCCCCACTAATTTTTGTATTTTTAGTACAGATGGGGTTTCACCATGTTGGCCAGGCTGATTTTGAACTCCTGATCTCAGGCGATCCACCCACCTCAACTCCCAAAGTGCTGGGATTATAAGTATGAGCCACCGAGCTCAGCCAGTTTTTTGTTTTCTTTGAGAGGTAGTTTCACTCTTGTTGCCCAGGCTGGAGTACATTGGCTCAATCTCAGTTTACTGCAACCTCTGCCTCCCAGGTTGAAGTGATTCTCCTACCTCCGTCTCCTGAGTAGCTGGGATTTCAGGTCCACACCACTATGCCTGACTAATTTATTGTATTTTTAGTAGAGACGGGTTTCATCATGTTGATGAGGCTGGTCTCAAACTTCTGACCTCATGTGATCCACCCACCTTGCCCTCCCAAAGTGCTGGGATTACAAGCGTGAGCCACCGTGCCCAGTCCTAAAATATTTTGTAAAATTTTTGTTTGTGTTTATGTGTGTGTTTCCCAGGGTCTTAACAGATTTTATTTCTTAGAGTGGGTCATAGTCAAAAACCCTGATAGACCGGTTGCAGTGGCTCACACCTGTAATTCCAGCACTTTGGGAAGCAGAGATGGGAGGACTGCTTGAGGTCAGGAGTTCAAGACTAGCCTGTGCAACATAGTGAGACTCTGTCTCTATTAAAAGAAAAATTTTGCCAGGCATGGTGGCACACGCCTAGAGTCCTAGCTACCTGGAAGGATTGCTTAGCTCAAAAATTGGAGGTTACAGTGAGCTATGACCACACAACTGTACTCCAGCCTATGCAACAGAGGGAGACCATGTCTATTTCAAAACAACAACAGGGGCCGGGCGCGGTGGCTCACACAGGTAATCCCAGCACTTTGGAAGGCCGAGGTGGGCGGATCACAAGGTCAAGAGATTGAGACCATCCTGGCCAACATAGTGAAACCCCGTCTCTACTAAAAATACAAAATTTAGCTGGGTGTGGTGGCACGAGCCTGTAGTCCCAGCTACTTGGGAGGCTGAGGCAGGAGAATTGCTTGAACCTCGGAGGCAGAGGCTGCAGTGAGCTGAGATCGTGCCGCTGCACTCCAGCCTGGCACCTGGCAACAGAGCAAGACTGTCTCAAAAAAGCAACAACAACGAAACCCTGATGCATACTAGTTTATATGCATAACGGAATATCAGAGTCCTGTCAAAAATAATACTCAGGTGGGCACAGTGGCAAGACGTCTGTACCCTTAGCCATTACTAAAACTAAGATGAGAGGGATCGATTGAGCCCACGAGCTCAAGGCCAGCCTGAGCAACACAGCAAGACCCTATCTTTTTTTTTTATTTATTTTTGGTGCCGTGACTCGGATACGATCTTTTTTTTTTTAAGATGGGGTTTCACCATGATGGCCAGGCTGGTCTTGAACTCCTGACCTCAGGTGATCCACCCACCTCGGCCTCCCAAAGTGCTGGGATTACAGGTGTGAGCCACCGCGCCCGGCCAAGACCCTATCTTAAATAAAATAATAGGTATACAGTTATCTGATTTTGAATAATGTGACAAAAATAATAGAAGGTATATATTAGCTAAGCAAATGTGAATTATTAAAACTTGAAATGGTATGAAAACCTAAAAGACTAAAACTAAGGATTTTATTGTGTCACCAATTGGTTTTTATTCAATCACTAGACATGGGTTTATTTTACATGCAGCTACAGCAAACATTATCACATTTTTTGGAAGGATATGCACAGGCAGACCTCCCACCCTCCCCTACTCAGAGCAGCAAACACTGCCCTTAAAAACCCCAATGATCCAAACGCGCAAGCTTCATCCTTGATCCCAAACTATAGCCTGTTTCGATGTCCAGGATACTGGATGAGGGCAATCTCTGGAGACCGAAGTCCAGGACTACCGCCTAAGACCCTAAAGGAACACTATAATAATAATAAAAACAGCCGAGCACAGTGGGCCACGCCTGTAATCCCAGCATTTTGGGAAGCCGAGGCAGGCAGATCACCCCAGGTAGGGAGCTGGAGACTAGCTTGACCAACATGAAGAAACCTTGTCTCTACTAAAAACGAGTATTAGCTGGGCGTGGTGGCGCATGCCTGTGATCCTAGCTACTCTGGAGGCTGAAGTAGGAGAATCGCTTGAACCCAAGAGGTGAAGGTTGCCAAGAGCTGATATCGTGCCACTGCACTCCAGCCTGGGCGACAAAGGCAAAACTCCGTCTCAAAAAAAAAAACGGCTCCAACAGATGCACTTATACTGCAAAGAACACTGGAAGTACTTTACACTAAAATACACATTGCTGTATTTTCTAGAGTCTCGCTCTGTCGCCAGGCTGGAGTGCAGTGGCACAATCTCAGCCCACTGCAACATCCACCTCCTGGGTTCAAGCGATTCTCCTGCCTCAGGCTCCTGAGTACCTGGGACTACAGGCGTGCAGCACCACGTCCAGCTAAAAATACAAAAATTAGCTGGATGTGGCGGCGCGCTAAACCCCCACATGGTAAAATCCCATGTTGACCAGGATGGTCTCTATCTCTTGACCTCGTGATTCACCTACCTCGGTCTCCCAAAGTGCTGGGATCACAAGCCTGAGCCACCGTGCCCGGCCACATTGCTGTATTTTCCTGTTGCAGTATAAGCATCAGAGAGCCATTCCATAGAGAATGATTCCTCTGCTCTCACCACATACTGCTCCAACACAGTAAACGCAATCTTGTATGAAACAGTATGTGTAGCTGGGGCGGTGGCCCACGCCTGTAAACCCAGCACAGCACTGTGGAAGGCAGAGGAGGACGGATCACCTGAGGTCAGGAGTTCAAGACCAGCCTGGCCAACAAGGTGAAACCCCATCTTTACAAAAATACAAAAATTAGCCGGGCATGAGGGCGGGTGCCTTTAATCCCAGCTACTCAGGAGGCTGAGGCGGGAGAATAGTTTGAGCCCGGGAAGTGGAGGTTGCAGTGAGCCGAGATCGTGCCGTTGCAGTCCAGCGCGGGCGACAAAGAGACAACGTCTCAAAAAAAAAAAAGAAATTGTGTCATGATTTGGCACAAAAATACTCTCAACACTTATTTCACGTTTTAATGGCAATGTCTATGAATCTACATAATCTAACAGTTAAAATAACATTATAAGAACTAACGCAACTTTTCAATAAAGTCTATTCTCTTTCAGGAGACAATGGGATAACTGGAAATGACTGCGCCAACTGCATCCCCACTTACAGGCACTGTGCCTCTGAAATGCTGTGACCAACAGCTGGATAAAGTGGCAGGAATCCGTAATTGGTAGGTGCAATGTGTGCTCTCTTCATAAAACTGAAAAAAATTACCTTTCAAATTCATTAAGTTCGAACCCTAAATGCGTAACTGAGTAAGTAACCAGAATACTCAACACCCCTGAAAACTTAACAAAGCAGGGGAGGAACGGCCAGGGCTGCCAGCTCCAGGTGGCTGTCAGGTGGATTTCAAATGACCACATAGGAGGACCACAGGAAAACTTCCGGGAGGCCCTTGTCAATCACGCGCAGGGCATAAGGAAGGTGGACAGAGAAACGCAACGTTTTAAACCCCTGGGAGCGAAAGAGCAGCCCAGCTCACCCCTGGAACCGCGGTCGCTCTGGAGCTGCCGCAGCGGGCGAGAGACCACGACACAAGCCCGGGCCTCGCGGGCATCACCCGCCGAGTCCAGCGGAAGGCGAAGCGCCGCGCGCGGAGCTGTACCGGGGAGACGTCCCCGCCTGTTCAGGGGCAGCCCCAGCCCGCGGACCAGCCCCCGGCCGCGAGCCGTGGCCCCGGTGTCGCCCTCCCGCCGCCTCTGCTCACGTTCTCCTCGTTCAAAAGGCTGACAGAGGCAGCGTCACCCCGAGAGCGGCCCACCTGCCGCCCTGCCCCGGGACCCCGGCAGGCACGGCGCGGCAGGACCCGTTATCCGCCCGGCCGCAGCATCCCGCTCCCAGGCCCGGGGCGCTCAGGCCGACAGCGGGAGGCCGCGCTCCGCAAGGCGCCAGGGAACTGCGACCGCGTACCGCCACCGACCCCTCCCGCCGCCGCGGCTTACCTCGAAGTAGCCTCCGGGGGCGGCGCCGCCAGCGCCCGCGCCAGCGCCGAGGGGCCCGTTGGCCACCGCCGCGCCGCCCACCAGGCCCGCCGTGCCGCCCGGGGCCGCCAGGCCCGCGGCCTGGGAGCCGCGCAGCGCCGCCGCCGGGCCGGCCTTGCCGCTGCTCGCGCCGCCGTTACCCCCGCCCGAGCCGCCGCCGCCGCCCCGCTTGTTCTTCCGGCGCTTGGCCCCGCGTTTGGCGTCGGCTGGGCTCATGGCGGGCGGGGAGAGGGGCGCGGAGTGGGCGCGGGGGCTACGGGCGGCGGCGGAGGGCGGGGAAGGCGGGGAGGCTGAGGCGGCGGCGGGCGCTCCGGCCAGCCGGGGGACGCTGCACGGAGTCGCCTCCGGGGTGGGGAGGGCTGCGGCGGGCGGGATCTGCGGGACAGGCCGCTGGGCGGGAGGAACCGCGAGTCCACAGTCCCGGCGCCGCCGCTGACCAGAGTTAGAGTCCAATATGGCGGACACAAGGGGAAAGGGATCCCAGTTTACGTCGGGGGAGGGGGAAGGAGCGGCGGGGAGGGGGAGGGGCGTGGGCCCCCACCCCCGACCCCGCCTTACTCCGCCCCCCGGGCGACGCTTTCCACTTTGCTTGCCTTCCTCCTCCTGCCGTTAACGTGCTTCGGCGCGCAAGGCGCGCGGGGAGTTGAAGTCCGTGCTGCCAGCGCCGCCGCTGGGGGCGCCCGGGGGCGAACCACGATTCCCTTCAGGCCTTGCGCGGCCAAGGGCCCGGACGCTGGGAGGAGTTGGAGCCCAGGAGCTGGATGCGACGGTGATGTCACCGCCGCGCTCGTCGTCGCAGATCCCGCCCGCGCCGCGCGGCCTTCTGGGCGTTGTGGTCGGGGGCAGGGCCGGGCCGGCGGGAGGACGCGCTGCCACCCGCAAGGCGAACTACAGGGCTGGCGGCGGGGATTTCCGCCTCTCTAACCGGCGCCCGGCGGGCCGTCGGCCCCAGACGCGCAGCGGCCCGCCGCCCAAGTGCGGCACAGCGGCGCGGCTCCCGGGATGCACCAGGGGCAGCGCGGCGCGGCCCTGGCCCCGCCGGGAACGCCCGGTGACCTTGGGCTGGTCTAGTCCGGGTGCAGATAACTCCGTGAGGACCGCAGAATCCCTGCCTTGTGGACTGGGCGGGGGTTCGGGCGGCGCTGGAAAGCGGGGCGCAGCGGGGTCCGCCTGGGTGCGGAGGCAGCGGCGCAGCCGGTGGAGCGTGGACAGGGCCGCGGCTGGGACACGCCAGTCGGTTCCCCGAGAACCCCTCGGCTAAAGGCTGCCCTTCCCCAGCCCGCCCTCTCCCTGCTACCCCGTTAAGCCCTCTCCAGAGGTCTCGGTGCCTTGCTACCCCGCAGGGCCCCAGGACGGGACCGCCGTTTCCCACACCCTCGCACTTACTCACCTCGGAGACAACGAGCCGGGTCAGATTCTCGCCGGGCTCCGGCGCTCCCGGCCCCGAGGGACGCAGACGTCCAGGTCAGAAATAGGGCGTGTGTCTGGACCCCCCTCCCTCCGCGTCCTCGCAGACATCTGCGAGCCCCAGGCGCAGCTCTGCCCCGAGACCCGGGCCACCGGGTACCCTGCCGGCGGCCCCGCCCCCTGAAGGGCCCTGCTTACCGCAGACGCAGAGGCACAAAGGACACGATTTACCGTTTTTGGTTCAACGGATGGTGTCAGGCGACGGGCTTGGCAATGGGACATACGGCCTGGCAGGCTCCACTGCAGCCTTTACCGAGCCCAGCTGTTCACCCTGGGTCCCGGCAACCCGCCCCATCTGCACCCACAGCCTCCTGATCCTCCGACCCATTCTTCATGACACAAGCAGAAATCTAAAGTGATCAGACGAAAACTACTCTTAAAGCTATTCAGAGACCACCTTATCCATCAAATAAAGCCTCCACCCCGCCCCATCGGAAGCTCTTGGATGATCCTGCCACTGAATTTGGAGCTTGAGAGAGCGGCCAGGAATGCCCTTCTGGCCTCTGCTTCCGTGTCATAGGCTGTCCCTGTCCTCACACCTGCCCCTTCTCTCAACCCCTGTCCTTTCTTTTGTCATAGCACATTGCATAGGATTGGGATGCATGGTGTCACCAGTATCCCCAAGAGACAAAAGGTCTCTTGGGCCGGAGAGAAGCTGGGAATGCCTCCCTCACACACCTCTGACTCCGAAACTACTGCCAAGCAAGGGGCTGAGCACCCCAGCATTCCCCTATTTGCTGAATCAATCAATGACAATAATGACCATTTGGGCCGGGCGTGGTGGCTCACGCCTGCAATCCCAGCACTTTGGGAGGCCGATGTGGACAGATCACGAGGTCAAGAGATCGAGACCCTCCTGGCCAACATGGTGAAACCCCGTCTCTACTAAAAATACAAAAAATTAGCTGGGCATGGTGGCACGTGCTTGTAATCCCAGCTACTCAGGAGGCTGAGGCGGGAGAATTGCCTGAACCCAGGAGGCAGAGGTTGCGGTGAGCTGAGATCACACCATTGCACTCCAGCCTGGGTAACAAGCGAAACTCCGTGTCAGAAAAAAAAAAAGAAAGAAAAGAAACCGAGGTTCCCAGATGTTAAGGGATTTGCCCAAAGCTACCCCAATAGTCAGAGGGCAGGGCCCAGATTCTAACTCAGGTGTGACTGAGGTGTGACTGGGGTATTGGTAGAGCACTGAGTGATACAGTGGGAAGGTACACTGAGGACTGGGGACAACTGAACCAATCAATGCCAGTCACACTCCCAGCAAAGCACTAGCAACAACACGAGGCTGTGAAGCAGAAAATGATCCCCAGGCACCCACAAAGGCCGCCATGCAGAGCAAGTGGAAATGCAGAATTGGTAGGCCTCCATGAGCGGGGAGATGTTAAGGTCGGTTGGTTTTTTTGTTTTGTTTTGTTTTTTTGAGACGGAGTCTCAATCTGTGGCCCAGGCTGGAGTGCAGTGGTGTGATCTCAGCTCATTGCAACCTCCGCCTCCCAGGTTCAACCAATTCTCCTGCCTCAGCCTCCCATAGCTGCGATTACAGCCAGTGCCACCACAGCTGGCTAATTTTTGTATTTTTAGTAGAGATGGGGTTTCACCATGTTGGTCAGGCTGATCTCAAACTCCTGACCTCATGATCTGCCCATCTCATCCTCCCAAAGTGCTAGGATTACAGGCAGGAGCCACCATGCCGAGCTGGATGTGTATTTTTGAAAGAATTCTGGCTACTGTGTGAGTTTTTTTCTCTTCAGAGACATGGTTTTGCCCCGTTGCCTAGGCCGGAGTGCAGTGGCCTGATGATGGCTCATCACAGCCTCCAACTCCTGGACTCAGCAGTCCTCCTGCCTCATGCTCCTGAGTAGCTGGGACTACAGGCACACACCACCACTGTTGGCTAATTTTTTTTTAATGTTAGGTGTCTTGCTAGGTTGCCCAGGCTGTCCTCAAACTCCAAGCCTCAAGTGATCCTCCCACCTGGGCCTCCCAAAGTGCTGGGATGACAAGTGTGAGCCAGTCTGGCTACTGTGTGGAGAGGATAGATGACCGGAGCTAGAGTGGAGATCAGGAGACCAATGACAAAGCCTCGCTGCGGGCAGAGAGGGTGTGCCTGGAAGACAGAACCAATGAATCAAAGGCATAAAACTGGTTCTCAAGCTTGTCATTTGCTCCCCTGCTATCCTTCAAATGTTTGTGTGTCCCTACTCCAATCCTTGTTGAAACCTAACCATGAATGGAATGGCATTAGGAGATGGGGCCTTTGGGAGTGATGAGGTCATGCAAGCAGAGCCCTTGGAAACAGAATTAGTGCCCTTAGAGAAGAGGGCCTGGAGAGCTACCTTGTTTCTTCCCTTATGTGGAGACACAGCTAGAAGGCATCAGCTGTGAATCAAAAAGTGGCCTCATCATCAGACACCAAATCTGCCAGTGCCTAGATCTTCGACTTCCTAGCTTCCAGAACTGTGAGAAATAAATTTTATGTTGTGTATAAGCTACTCCGTTGGTAGTATTTTGCAATAATAGCCCAAATGGACTAAGACCTAACACACCCTTTAGGGAAAAATTCACAGGAAATTACGGAGAAAAGTTAAAGACTAAGAAATAAGGTCAGGCACAGTGAGTGGTTCACATCTCTTAATCCCAGCACTTTGGGAGGACGAGGTAGGCGAATCACTAGAGGTCAGGAGTTCAAGACCAGCCTGACCAACATGGCGAAACCCTCTCTCTACTAAAAATACAAAAATTAGCATGGCATGGTGGCAGGAGCCTGTAATCCTCAGCTGATCAGGAGACTGAGGCAGGAGAATCGTTTGAACCTGGGAGGCGGAGGTTGCAGTGAGTTGAGATCCTGCCATTGCACTCCAGCCTGGGTGACAGAGCCATACTGTCTCAAAAAACAAATAGAAACAGCCTGGCCAACATGGCAAAACCCCGTCTCTACTAAAAATACAAAAATTAGCTGGGCGGAGTGGTGCACAGCTGTGATCACAGCTATGTGGGAGGCTGAGGCACAAGAATCACTTGAAGCCAGAAGGTAGATCTGGCTTCACAGGTAGGTTGCAGTGAACCAAGGTCAGGCTGCTGCACTCCAGCATGGGCAACAGAGTGAGCCTCCGTCTAAAAAAATAAAAATAAAAATGGCGGAGCGCAGCAGCTCACGCCTGTAATCCCAGCACTTTGGGAGGCTGAGGCAGGTGGATCACAAGGTCAGAAGTTCTTTGAGACCAGTCTGGCCAACATAGTGAAACCCCATCTCTACTAAAAATTGTTTTAAAAATTAGCTGGATGTGGTGGTGTGCACTTGTAATCCCAGCTACTCAGGAGGCTGAGGCAGGAGAATCATGTGAAGCCAGGAGGCAGAGGCTGCAGTGAACCAAGATCACACCATTGCACTCCTATCTGGGCAACAGTTCAAGACTCCGTCTCAAAAAAAAAAAATTTAGCCAGGCACAGTGGCTCACCCCTGTAATTCCAGCACTTTGGAAGACCAAGGCAGGAGGACCACCTGTGGCCAAGAGTTTGGGACCAGGCTGGACAATCTAGCAAGACCTCATCTCTGTAAAGAAATTTTTAGCAGTTTGGCTAGGTGCAGTGGTTCATGTCAGTAATCCTAGCACTTTAGGAGGCCAAGTTGGGCGGATCACTTGAGCTCAGGATTTTGAGACCAGCCCACATAATATGGTAAAACCCTACGTCTTCAAAAAGTACAAAAATTAGCCAGGCGTGGTAGCGCGCACCTGTAATCCCAGCTACTCAGTAGACTGAGATGGGAGAATCGCTTGAACCTGGGAGGTGGAGGTGCAGTGATCCGAGATAGCACCACTGCACTCCAGCCTGGGTGACAGAGCAAGACTTGGTCTCAAAAGAAAAAATTGTCCCAGACAGTAAGTGAAATAATGACATTTTCAGACTAACAAAATCCAGAATTTACTGCCGTAGCAATTCACTATAAGGAGCTCATTCGGCAGAAGGGAAATTATTACAGATAGAAATGAAGAAATACCAAAAGAAAAGGTAAATATGGGTGTAAAATTACTTTAATATTGACTGTA